ACATCTCCTGGCTCCAAGCTTCGCTACCCTCTGTTGTAATCCAGATTCGTGTTAAATTAGGTATGATTGTACTATCTAATTTTATGTAAGAAACAGATTTGGGTAGGACTTTTTTATTGCTAATTTAGCAGTTAGGGTTATCATTTGGGTTCACTCCAAGTACTTAACCCATCCCATATATTTCTTATTAATCCTCTTATCATATATATGTTTCACTGACTTGAAGTCAATTTTGTTTCCAGGCTGGTTCTTAATTCAGGCCTGTTCTTAGTTCTTTCCCAAAAATACTCCCATCCTTTCCATGGCTCTCAAGTTTGCATCTTTTATCCAGGCCGGTTCTTAATTGTTTGGTTTGATATTGGGTTTTTTCAGTGTTTATATGTGTCAAATTTTCTTTCACCAATTCTGTTGTGATTAAAGGAACAAATGCACATTTTCACCAAGAAAATTGTTGAAATGATGAAGAGTGAAAAACTGTTCCAATCTCAAGGAGGTCCTATAATACTGTCTAAGGTAACTATTTTACTTTGCATCGAGTATAGATAATAAAGAAACATACACTCAGATTAATAGGTATGTTTTACGGTTTTTACCTCTTTTGGCAGATTGAGAATGAATATGGTTCAGAAAGTAATGCTCTTTGAGCAGCAGGGAAGTCAAGTGATTCTAATGAATATGGTCTAGTCGAGTGATTCTATCCAATCATCATTATAGTTATGGAAAGCAGAATTGGATTTGAGCTTATCATTGAGAGAACTCTGAATGTGCTCTTTATCATTTATCAAACAGATAAATACATGCAATGGCTTCTATTGTGATGCCTTTTTTTCCAACAAACCATACAAATTGAAAATGTGGACTGAAGCTTGGACTGGCTGGTACGATCAATCTGCTTTATTGTTAAGAATTTGCTTAAATGTCACAAAAGGTTGAGCCGTAATGGCATATGTTCTATAAATCAGCAAGTCAAAAACTACTTATTCTGCATATAGCTTATAACAACAGAGCCACATTTAGCTATGAAACAGACTTTTAAAAGCTATTTTAAGATGACCATCGCTCTTAATTTCTCATATTGTGGTAAAATGGACAACCTCCCGAATATTATATTCTGTTAATTGATGAATTTGATCTTCTAGTAACTAGGAGTCAATCGGTAATTATGATCTACATTTTTCCCCAGTATAATAAGTTTCTATGAACTCGAAATTCCGTTCATCATTCTTTCTCCTCAAATGGAAGGTCCTATATAAAATTCTTGATTGGCCTACTAGAAGTGTAGAAGAGAATATGACTGGAGTTAAACCTCCTAAGGAACAAGATGATGAACATGGAAACACTGATATCCAAGGCCAGAAAGAATATAGGTAGAAACCTTTCAGATAATTGTTTATCATAATAAGATATAGAAGGTTCAAAGAGATTCTTTATATATCAGACAATGATAATTAAGACTGCTCGACGTCGCGGAATAATATCATGTTGCTTATATGTGTGTAGCTGTTGCATATCCTTAGCTATCATGGGGGAGCTTTTGCCCCTGCCGGGTGATCCTGCTGAAAGTTTTGCTTCTATGTGAGTATTGACGAGCCTTTCTTCTCCTCCACCTATTTCCACTCCCGCTGCTAGGTAAGCCCACTCTCTGCCTATTTCATTTGTTGATGTTGTGTGCCATTTCATTCCATTTTAGGTCTTTGATATCTCTTAATGGTTTCTTGGTTCTGAATATGAAAACAGGGACGAGGATACCCAATATTTTATCTTCTTTTCTTTGGTTCTACTAGTGTGTTTTATTAATTGTTTATGATGTTATGGTATTTGATTTTTTAACTTTGTGATTTCAGATTAGCTATAACTACTCCATCATTAACTCTGAACTCCTTGACATGAAGAAGTAAGGCATAATTTAAGTTCAACCCCTGTATTCAATGGTTATAAGTAAGTTCTCCTCTATTAGATTGAAATGCATATATTTATATAGAATAAGGGCATATTAATTACTTAAGTGGTGGATACTCTATATAGTTTTTTTAGATGTAAGGACGGTGGTTAGATTAAAAAAGCACGTACGCACAACATAACAACTAAAAGTATAAAAAAAATAGGAGCATAAAACTATTTTCATTAGATAAATTTTCAGTCAATAAAACTATATATGTGTGCTCTCTTTATCAGATTTGTATTGAGTTTATGAATAAGAAAAGAAGAGATTTGAATAGAGTTTGGTCATCTTGTTATGTATAGATGGAAAACGTGTGCCACTAATAAGTACACTGTTTTATGTTATTTTATGTTGTTTTTGTGGAAGACCCTCCCATCCAATTATCCAATATCCTCTCTGTATCTATCTCTTTGATGTCCTCCAGTTGGAGAACACAATGCTGGTTTCAACAAATATGATCCTCGGCCAGACATCATGTTCGAGCTATTCTTTAATATTATGAGAAGAGGCTTTGATGTCTCAAATGTTAGCAGCAGATCTAAAGTGGAAATTCAGATAATTTATTAGTCAAGACATGCACTTTAAAGAAACAATATTTTATGAATTTGGATCCTTTCACTTACCAGTGTTGATAAACATTACAGGTTTGGCAGGATTTATAACCTGCAATGCATCAATCAATAACACCAAGTTAAAATAAAAATGTGAGACTTGCACCGATGATTACAGAAGAGGGTACATTGTCTGGTCGCACCCAAACAAGAGGGCAAGCCTCAAGAAAATGCCTTATTCTCAGGAATAAGTATAAGTGTATAACAAGGGATTCAGTGCAGCTGCTAAGGTTTCCTAGTGGCATTGGCAGTATAAGAATGATGGCTTCATTATATTATGTGTAGAAGAAAATGTGATGTCTACTACTTATAAGAAGAATGTGAACGCCTTGTGAAGCATGGTGTCAAAGTTGGACTAGTCAGTGTTTTGTTCTTGTGTATTATTTATTGTTTTGGGGATGCCCCTATGAATTATGTACTATGTACATTCACATTTATGTGAGAATTTGAGATATAAATAAAAAAATATGATATTATGGTTGTTTATTAGTATTATATATATATATATATTGTGATGTATATATATATATATATTGTAATCAATATATATACATTTTCATAGTTCTATGATGTTGAATTGTCATTAAATTTTGTGATGTATTAAAGTCACAATGTTTTCTTGATGCATAAATGTCGCTATTTTAGACGATACATTAGTGTCATAATTTGCTGACACAAAACCGTCCCCGCATCAGTGACACTTTATTTAGTGTCACTAGCCGACACTTTCCCCGACACTTTTTTAGTGTCGCAGAAAGTTTCTGTGACACTAAATTAATGTCACTATAAGCCCTTTTTCTACTAGTGGTGGATAGGCGTGGGAAGCCTACAGAGTATTGGTCGCTCAGACATGCCTGATACGTGGCTATATGGGATAGGCGAGCGGAGTTGGTTGTGATTGGGACTATATGAGATGGTATTACACCATCACACGGGTGTTTGTATCTCCATCTTTCAGACTCCCTACTCACTATTATCAGCCTAGTTCCATGCCTTTTCACTTGACGGTGAGTGTGCTCATAATTATTAAAGTAATTCATGTTCGTTATTTAACATTTTTAATTTATTTCAAAATAATCATATTTCATTTTTCACATTTCAGACACGGGCTTTGCAGCATATACATGAGCGAGTGACTGCCACAGTTAGTGAGACGCATGACGTGGACACGTACCATCAGGTTCTAACGGGCATTGCTTCCTTGTGTTCAGATGTGTTTGGGCGAGTGGACTATGACCATCTTATACATATGACCCCCTCTCAGGATTCAACATGACATGGTTGTTCTTAAGCCACGCCAGCGACGTAAGCGTATGTGTCAACAGCAACACCTCCATGACCAGGATGACCAAGAAGACATTCAAAACTTGCAGTCTATCTCTATTATTGTACTTATTCATGTAGCCCAAATTTGTAGATTTTTTAATCTGTGAAACAGTTTATGACGTATGTCCACTTGCAACGTATTGAATTTTAGTTATTTAATCATTTGTTTTTTATGTGTTTATGTGTTGGGTTATGCAAATGTGTTGAATTTTTTTAGGCTTTTGTTTTTGTTTAGTGTTTCTGACCAAGATTTGTGAAAATGTGTTATGTTTAATTGGGTGGGCATGTATTGGGCGTTGGAAAATTATTATTGTGTGCAAGTCTTTGTCCTTATGCCACTGCATCATATTTAATGGCATAGAATTCCCATGCAAGGACAACAGCCATGCAAGGAATTGGACTCCATGCATCACCTTCCTCCCAAGTTCTTTTTATTTGTGTGCTCTCTTGGTTAAGTGGGTTTTTTGAACATTCAGTTTGGATATTCTTTTGAATTTTGATACGATCCTAATTTAAATAAATAAGTGGAACGTGGGTACAAAAAAAATCTTGATATTCCTTTCTGGTGTGAATTTGAAAGTATTTCTCGTCGCAATACGTATTTCAACGGTTGCATTAGTCACAACCGCAATGACCGCAACCGTAATTTAAAACCTTGATTCAAGCCCAAGACCACTACATTACCAAAATAGCTTGCTCTTTAAGATGCGTAACATATATTTAACCTAGCTACAAGGGATCCTTATTGCATGAATATTCGAAGGCCAAGAACCTTTCATCTCTTAGACTAGCATACACACGTCAGCGCACGAAGGTAATTTTTGCATCCCGGATTCTCAAAGGAATTGCCCATCAATACTCAATAGGGCAAATCATTACGTGAATAATGGTTGCGACTTTAATAAGAAAAATTGTATGTCTTGTGTAATAGTGGAACGATTGGATTGCTGAATCTACTGAAATGGTAAGATACTTAAAAAATGTAAGAAATGGTGTATTTGTCTCATAAATATCACGCGTTTTTACTTGGCATGAGTATTAAGAAAGTGAGATCGGTATGATCTAAAATTAGACGAAAGAAAAGAAATTATAATTTTATATTAAGATAGATAAATGAAAAGGGAAAGAATAAAATTTAACTTGAGAGGTGTATAATGATCAAAAAAAACTTGAGAGGTGTATTTAAAATGAGGTATGATTAAAATAAATACTGCATATAAATTATACGGAATAGTTGTAATAACTGCCTGTCTACAACAAACCAAGCAAGAAAGATTTAAATGAATTGGACTCGGGCATCCGCCGTGTCGGATCCTCTCCTGTCCCTATCCATGCACGGCCGACATGGACCGTCGGGTTGATCCAGAAACCCAAGACTCGCTCCAATCACACCGTCTGCATCACACGTGGAGGACCCGTTATTGCTTTGAAGGGCCCATATTTAGCAGGGATTCCCTTTGGGCCACTCTGATCTGGCCTACCCGCAATTCTGATTCCTCCCATTCACTGACATTTCGGTTCCTCACCAGTTGCACCGTTACCACATTACTACTACTACTCTTGTTCATTAATTTCGGGCCCGAACCACTGGTCAACATTCCCATTGACCGTGACTTGCTCAACCTCACTGTGGGCTTCTTCGCACCCGATCCCGCGTTCTTATCCAACAGCTCATATCCAATCTCCGCGAACGATCCGATGGATTTCGCCTTCGCCACGTGGCGTCCGTTTTCCCCACCAATCGCGCTGTTCTTGCTTACTGACTCTACGCTCGTCGTAGTGGATAATCTCCGCGCTCTTGATATCCTGACCGCCTCCACGCTGTCATCTAACGGCTCGTATCTCGCCGCCACGCGTGTTGTGTCTAGTATGCAAACCACGCGCCGTCGCATCGTGCTCCATACCGGAGATCTCACGTGCTTGTAGATTGATTTCAGGCAATTCACCACTTCCGCCATCGCCGGCCGCTTGCTCGCGGACTTTCTGACGCAACTGGCGGCGACGATTGAGAGCTGACGGATCACCGCCTCGTCCTCGGGTATTTCGATTCTTGGATCCAAGATTCCGGCGTAATCGCCGGATTTCACCAGCGGGACGGCCCAGTCAACGACGGACGGCGGGCTGTAGTTCATGTCGATGGCGTAACGGCCGCTGATGATTTCCAGCAAGAGGATTCCGAAGCTGAACACGTCGGACTTCGGGCTGAGATCCCCCGGCGCGAGATAGCCCGGGTCGAGGTACCCCAATGTCCCCGCCGGTGGCGTGCGCATCGCCGCCACATCCTCCGCGAGTCCTCTCAATGCCAATCCGAAATCCCCGAGCCGGGCGTTGAATTTTTCGTCAATCAACACATTCGACGACTTTATGTCCCGGTGGATGATCGGCGGGTTCGACGAGTGGCAAAACCGAACCGCCTTCGCAACCTGCAACGCGAACCGGACTCGCCGATTCAATCCGGGCGGCCGGTTCGAGCAGTGGAGGAGCTCGTACAGTGACCCGTTCGGCATAAACTCCACCACTAATAACTTCTTCCGGTTCAAATGCAATCCGTATCCGATCAAATTGACCAGCCGCGGGTGGTAGACCCGCGATAGGAGCTCAATCTCGTTCTCCGCCGTGGAACCAGCTGCCGCAACTTTAGTTTCGCTCTGTTTCGTGGTCTTCACGGCGGCGATCACACTGTTGCGCCCGTGGAGAAGATCAGCTCTGTAGACAAATCCATGGCTTCCCTTTCCGAGCAGGTTGGCCTGGGAGAAACCATTGGTGGCGGATTGAAGATCAGAGTATGAATACTCCCTGATCTCAAATGGTCTGTTTGGCTGACATTGTTTAGAGGTTTTCTTAAAGTTGTAGGAATCGCAGGTGGCAATTGCGGCCTCGGCGCCGCAGTTAAGAAGACCCATTGTAAAATGTAGAGATATAGAGAGAGAAAGTAGAGTGAGTGAGTGAAAGGAAAAGAAAGAAGGAACGCAGAGGCAGAAGCCATAACTGAAGAAGACGAAGTGGGTAAAGAGTTTGAAGTTTGGCAAATTAGCGGTGGATGGTAAAGTGTATGAAAGACAGGCTTTTTTTTCTTTTAAAAATATTCTCTGCTTTTCATAAATTGTGGAAATTGTACTCCGTAACAGTGAAGCAATTAACACTTCTTTTTCTTTTTGTAAATTCCTATTGTCTTGACTAATTCTTTAAAATATTCATGTTCATTCAAAAAAAATTATTAATACAGAATATATTGGAGTTTGAAACGCCATCACATTATTGATTGATTAGGGATTATGTTGAATTGATGCCTAATCAAAATTATCTTATTTTTAAAATGGGGCACTTTTGCGTTTTTTTCTTACATTTTCTTAAGTAAGCATGGTATCATGTTCTAACTTGCTGATTAAAGAGATATTAGACTCTTGTAATTATATACTTAGGGATTGTTTGGATCCGATTCTGATTCTGCTTTTTTTTAAAGAAAAAGCAGAATCAGAATCAGTTTTCAGAAGCTGGTCACCCCCAGCTTCTAAAAAAATTGATTCTAGGAGTAAATTAGAGCACCAGAATCACTTCTGCACTTTTACCCAAACACTCCAACTTCTGCTTTTGTTCCATGAAGGAGCAGAAGCAGTTTTAAGAATCAAATCCAAACACCCCCTTATACTTTGTACACAAATTTTCGTGAAGGTTCAAATGAAAATAGAAAATAGCATATCCAAAGGCGTACCTAAGACTCTAAGGGTATGTTTGGAAGTTTGAAGGAAAGTGGGGGGGGGGGGGGGGGGGGGGGGGAGATTTTGAAGGTTAGTTGTCATATTTTAATTAAAATTACCACTGTTAGGAAATTGATGTAACGTACCTCGAAAGTACGGCAACGGAAGTTTAAAATTTTCCCAAACAGATCTTCCCTGATTATGACAAAATAACGAATATGATAATAATAACAGATCTGAGTTAGAACTTACAGATCTTCCAGCCTAGCGGTGATAATCCTTGACCTTTGGTATCCACGTGATTTCTCCTTTCCGAAAGAACGGTTAGATCTCCCTAAGAGAAAGGCTAGGAAATCTCTTCGCAGGGAAATAAACTGGTAATACTGAATCTGAAAACCGGTATCTAAATTATGAAGGAGGAGGATGTATTTATACTAGTTCTAAACTAGTTTCCCAATCACAATGAAAGTCTTTCTTATTAATGAGTTCTAGTCCTACTAGGACCAATACTCATTAATGATTTACATTAGTTAATTAAATAAAATAAAACAATCTAATAATATGAGTAAAAGTTGGCTTCACCTACGCCACTTTACTCTATTATTATTTATTTTATTTTCTCTTTTCTTTCAATTCTAAATTATAAAGAAAAGTAACAACTTTAATTAATTAAAAATACATCTTAAGTAAGTATAATAAATCTAATTTATTACACTTAATTAAATCTATCAAATAGAACTCTTCTTCAACATCACGAATTAAATATAGTTAATCTAACTAATATTTAATCCATTTTCAGTATTACGAATTAAATATTATTTAATCTAATTAATATTTAATTCCTTCTAACAATTCTATCGGAAGGTATAATCACTTGTTGTGTGACCCATAGGGCCTTATATATTAAGCACTAATCAAATCAAGGTCTTAGTAGAATCCCTAGACGATTTACCAGACAAACTTAATATATAAGGACGTTTGCGAGGACTATTCAAACTCCCTGTAATATAGAGCTCATAGTGATACGGTCCTTTCATTCAACGAACATTCAACTAAGTCTAGAACATGATATTGTGTCTATCCCAATAACTCAGTCTCTGTCTCTCAATCTTTCTAGATGATCCATAACGATCATATTCGATATCCAAAACGAATATATCTTTGCATTGGCCAATGACTTTATGATCCATCTAGATATGAGAAGTAGAATGTTCTCTCTTAATCTATTATGAGGAATGAATCCTTTCTTGGCTCAACTACTACTCCATGTGCTTCGTGATGCACCCAACACATGCCGTATCTACCCCGATTGGAGTGCAAGCGTTGGTCATGGTCAAAGTACATCACTCCGCACATGTAGTACGTATTGACCTCAAGTCGGAGGACTATTACACTACTCTATACGCCGATAATCCCATAGACACATGAATAGAACTCATCAAATGGTTTCTCGGTGGGTATGCCAATATTCTCTAAAATATCTATGTGACCATCATGAATTACAGGAACTCATAGTCGTGAGATCAACTATACTTTCTAAAAGTATGATGCAGTCCACATACCAATCTTATCGCATATCATCAATATCCCATTCTTGATGATCATTGATTGGGGCTATTTTAGGACCTTATGTTATATCATATAAGCTCCCACTTACTTATTGACAACATAAGTCCAAGGGAACACAATTATGAATAAGATATTGACAATTGAAATACTTAATCGTCAATGTGTAATACCGTATATATCAAATATATAAAACTGAATGTGATCAAGTACATATATCTCTAAAAAGTGATTGTCGCTAGGACATATATACTAACAATCTCCCACTTGGCCTAGTGCCAATCACCGATGCGTCTAACACCTAGTCTCTTAAAAGTCTAGTATGTTTCTCGCATCTCAAAGGTTTGGTGAATGGGTGAGCCAAATTGTCCTCTACGGGAAGGCATTCTATTGCAACTTCTCATCTTGCTATTTGTTATCAAAACATGATAGCATACTGGTATTTTCTAGTTCCTTACTTCGCATCTTGGTTCCTTAGCTTGTGCAAATGCACCAGGTACAATCACAATAACAATTATTGGATAACTGTCGCTAGGAACTACCCCTGTGTCTTTAAGGAACTAACATATCTAAACGTTTACCTGTGTTGTATCAAATGCAACAATTTACTAGGCTCTAGTTATCGAATTTATAGTAGTTTCTAACTTGTAACTCTTTCAGCACTACTATTACATTGAGACTAAAAACATATATTGACTGTGACTCGTAGTCTTTCTTATCATACATGAAACTAGTGCTAGAATAATTAAATTCTACTAGTCCTTTCTGTCTACCATAGACAAAAAGATGTTCATGAAGATTTTGGGTGACCATCCTTTCACGGACTTCAATGAGGGGATATCATTCTCTATGATCAACATATATCATTACAAAGACCACGTTATCCTTGTTGCGCACTCTAAACACGCAAGCATCCTCATTTCATTTGATGAGGTCAATTGATTTGACTATTTCATCAAAATTAATATTTCAACTCCTAGAGGCTCGTTTTAGCCCGTAAATAGATTTCTCTAATTAACATAATGATTTAGAATTTTACATGGATGCAAAAGCCTTCAGGTTGTACCATGTACACCTCCTCCTTGAGGTTTCCATTAAGGAAATGGGTTTTGATATCCATTTGTCAAATCTCATAATCATAGTATGTAGCTGTCACAAACAAAATCCGAATGGTCTTGAGTTTTGCAACTGGCGAATAGGTATCACTATAGTCAATTCCTTCTCTTTGACTATAACCTTTAGCCACTAGCCTAGCTTTGTATGTTTGCACCTTGCCTTCGACATTAATTTTCTTCTTGAAAATCATTTGCATCCAATGGGTCCAACCCCAACAGGCAAGTCAACCAAGTTCCATACTTGATTGATACACTTCGAGTCCATTTTAGATTTTATGGCTTCTCGCCACCTCTATGAATCAACATCTAATATTGCTTCTATGTGGGTCTCAGGTTCATCCGTATCAGGAATCTTAACATCATCATGATCCTCCATGAGGAAGCCAAACCTAGTTAGTTCATGACGAATCCTAGTAGACCCACAAAGTTGAATGTTTTGCGTTTTGTTCAGGCTGTTCATTCTGATAGTGAAGAGGTTCTCTTTCATTGGACTATCCCAATGTTCAGAGAGTTTCTGGTGCTTTACTCAGAGAGGGAGAGTTAGGTGCAGAAGGAATGACAACCATGCCATTACTTTCTTCATAAGAATCACCTGCTGGTGCGAAGCGCTTCCTATATTACTCCCACTAGCTGAAGGATATACTCCTAGAGACATTCTTCGACTTAATTCTCCCTTTGAATCCTTCGTCAGACCATCTAACAAATCTTCATTCTCTATGTTACTTCATCTTTCAATTTTATTAGTGCACATTTCTTTACATATGTAGGGCAACCCATATTTAATATGTGAAGAAAATGTCTTTTATTATACCACAACTCATATAGTACGTTTTGCACTAATCAAACCATTCAGAATGCATATTGAGATTTATAGTGTGTACCCTAAAAAGAATGTTTGGAAGAGAAAATGAATTCATCATAGATCTAGCCATGTCTAACAAGGCCCTATTTCTCCTTGCAGAACGTCACACTTCTGAGGTGTTCTGGAGGAGTTCATTATGATCGAATTCTTCGATCTTTTAAATAAATCAGAAACTTTACTTAAGTACTCTTTGGCTTGCTATCCTTTTTCCTAGAAAAGGTTTACTAGTCAATTTACTTGAAAGACAAGATTCACAAGTTCCATATGACTCAAAGTCAAAAGGTGTTAAATAATCTAATTTATTTAGCGTTGTTATTCTTGTTTCATTAATTTGACAAAGTTTGCAATGTCATAGATAGGTAGTAATTTTTCTGATTACTTAATCGAGATCCTTTTATTTTATTCATTTAATATCTAATATGTCGATTGATAATTAACCATTCATAAGAAAAACATTTCCACAACAACACCATTTTATGAAAATAACAATTATTATTAGCAAAATGGAAATAGAAATCTTTTAATGTCTAACATATGAATGGAAATAATCTTCTTGGTAATAGATCCTATCACGTTCAGCAGCAACTTTTGCTCCAGCCTTCACGCGTAGGTCAATTTTACCCAGTCCAACTGCTACACTGCTTCTTAGGCTTCAGCACATTTTTACAAATGTGTAAGCTATAAGTTGTATCTAATACTTTAACAATGAGAGTTAGTTATAGACATATTTATTTAATGATAAAATTACCTGAGCTTGAAGCACCTGGTGCTTTGGCTAGATTAGCCTTATACAGCTCACAATCTCTCTTCCAATGTCCCTTTT